GTTCGCATTCCTGGAACTTGGGCTTGGTTCTTCAGGGCTTCTGCGGTCCGCATAGAAATGAGTGCGGCCGCACAAAAATGATGCAGTCCGCGCTCATTGACTTTGGACTTAAACCCAGCTCTCTGATTCTCACTTCTGCGGATCGCATAAGTAATGAGTGAGATCGCACTTGACATCCTGCGGTCGCACTTGACATCCTGCGGCCGCAGAATTTGGTGCGGTCCGCATGCCTTCAGCTAGCCCAAAGACTACTCTCTGAATCTCCTCTCTGCGGCCGCACTGCTGGCCTTTTTTGCCCTATTTTGGTTCTTGTTCACTTTTGACTCCTTTATGAGTTGATTTTGACATCTTTGGCTCATTTCCCAATATTCCTGCAAGCAAGCACATTTCGTTAGTTTTCGGGAATACCTTTAAGCATTTTTGAGCTAAAATGCAAGGGCCAACCTCTAGAACTTTAAAGGCAGTTCGATTGATGCATAATGTCCTCCTACTGCTCCATCGTACAATGATACAAAATTTTGGTCATTTCTTCTTCTGGTACACATCTTCTGATAATATTATCTGCACAAATTTTAAACAAGTAAGGGTCATTCCACAAATAATATTTAGCTTCAGATATCAACTTTTTCCTTTGTTGGTAAGTGAGATTTTGGGGTGTCCATTTTCCTACCAAGTAAATTTGCAATATCTGCAAACCAGGGTGGTTGAGTCACAACTGAGTTGATAGAAAAAATATGTTCATCAGGAAACTCTTCTTTATATCACATAACTCAAGTGGGGGGTTCTATAATCTAGACAAATGGCCAGCTACCTGATTCTCTGTTCCCTTTTTATCTTTAATTTCGAGCTCAAATTCTTGGAGAAGTAAAATCCATCTTAACAATCTAGGTCGCTGTCACGACCCAATTCCCATACCCGGTCGTGATGGCGCCTCTCGTGAAGACAAGGCCAGCCAACTAACCCAAATCCTTTCACTAACAATTATTAAACATAAATGAATAGACGATACAACTTAATGGCATTAGAAACTGTTAATTACTACCCGACCGGGGTGTCACAAGTCACGAGCATCTAAGGAAACCTTAACACAACTATAGGCCAATAAATATATACAAGTAAAATTTCTGGAAAATAAAAGACAACATCCGGTGCCGCGAATACTGGCGGTCACCTTGCTCAGCTACGATAACAATACCTTCAATCCGCTAATAACCCGCTACCGAGTGAACGATACCTGCAACTGCACGCGAGGTGCAGGGAGTAAAGTGAGTACTTCCAACTCAGTGAGTAATAAGGGTAAATAATAACTGAGAGGCAAGAAATCACGTAAGAGCACTCCATCATGCTATATAGGACAGTACAACCCTTTGAGAAAACAGTAAAACCGTGAAAAATCCTTTAGAAAATATCTGGCTCAGTTTAAAAACCTCTTTTGAAAATATCATTTTCCAACAGTCAAGCAAATGAATGCGTATCAGATAGTGCAAGTCCGCACATAAGTCAGCCCCTCGGGCACAGCACTCCATCAACAAATAACACCAGGGTATCAGGTAAACAGTGCAAGAAGTAGCATGGATGCCAATGATATGAGAGTGCTGAATGTCATGACACGTAGTACAAACAGGAACCAATGCATGAATGCAATGTAATGCACATGACCGCTGCGGCGCGCAACCCGATCCATTTGGGTACCCGCGCTCACTGTGGGGGTTCAGACTTCGGAGGGGCTCCTACAGCCCAAGCGCAATATCATCATAGTATCGCTGCGGCGTGCAGCCCGATCCATATTCAGTCCAGATCAATTCAAATGAGCCACTCGGGCAATGTCAAGTAATAGCTTTTAACTCAAAACATCAGAAAATGGAATTTAAGTCTTTAAACTTTAGCAATATGACTGCACATTTCAAAATTGTGTTTAACTAAGGACTGAAGTCATTTAACATGCTAAGTGTCATGAAAACAGCAATAATAATCCCTAAAGGATTCAAATAATCGGCACGAAGCCCAAAACATGGCAATCAGCCCAAATCACGATAGCATCAAGCAGGTTTTAGTCAATTACGCAGTAAAATCAACAACCGGGACGGACCAAGTCACCATCCCCAACGGTGCTCTACCCTACGCTCATACCTGGCGCGCAAGTCACCACAATACAGCACTATGATGTGCAAATCCGGGGTTTCAAACCCCCAGGATATCATTTACAAGTATTACTCACCTCGAACCGGTGAAATCTCTAGCTCGCGACGCCTTTTTCCCTCGAATCGGCCTCCACGCGTGTCGAATCTAACCAAAATCAGAGCGAATACATTACAATATACCAAGGGAACAATACCCAATCGAAAACAGCCAAGAAATAGCAAAAATCTCAAAACTAGCAAAATCCGAGCCCCGGGCCCGCTTCTCGAAAAATTACAAAATTCACATTACCGGATTCCTCGTCTCGCCACGAGTCCATACATACCAAGAACTCCCAAATCCGAGCTCAAATGACCTATCAAATCCCAATTTGAAATATCAAAAACTCAAGCCCTAGTTCATAAATTTTTAGGCTTAATTCCATGAATTTCTAGGTAAATTTCACATAATAATCATGTTTTTAACTCAAAAATCTCACCTCCAACAAACTCCAGTCGAAACCATCTTCAGTTGCTCCCAAAAAGCTCCCAAGATGTTCAACAATGGAGGAAAATGGACCAAGCTTCGCGGATGAAATAATATAAAACCCTTCTGCCCAGGTACAGTGTTTTCGCAATTCCCAGCAAAACCTTCGCATTTGCGAAGCTACAGTGTTTTCGCAATTCCCAGAATAACCTTCGTGTTTGCCAAGCTACAGTGTTTTCGCAATTCCCAGCAAAACCTTCGCATTTGCCAAGCTACAGTGTTTTCGCAATTCCCAGCAAAACCTTCGCATTTGCCAAGCTACAGTGTTTTCGCAATTCCCAGCAAAACCTTCGCATTTTCCAAGCTACAGTATTTTCGCAATTCCCAGCAAAACCTTCGCATTTGCGATGCTACAGTGTTACACCAGAACCAGCAATCAAATTTCTCCAAAATGATCCGAAACCACCCCGAAACTCACCCGAGGCCCCCGGGACCTCAACCAAAAGCACGGACATATCCCATAACATCATTCAAACTTGTTCCAATCATCAAAACACATCAAACAACGCTAAAACCATCAAATCACATCGGATTCAAGCCTAAGTTCTTCAAAAACTTTCGAAATGCACTTTCGATCAAAAACCCGACCAAACAACGTCCGAATGACCTGAAAATTTGCACACATATCCACAATCACCTAAAGAAGCTACAACAACTCTCGGAATTCCATTCCGGCCCTCGGATCAAATTCTCACCCATCAACCGGAATTCGCCAAAATACTAACCTCGCCAATTCAAGCCTAATTCTACACCGGGCCTCCAAAATCAATTCCGATCGCACTCCCAAGTCACAAATCATCCCCCGAAGCTAACCGAATCACCGGAAATCACATCCGAGCCTTCTAACTCATAAGTCAACGTCCGGTTGACCTTTCCAACTTAAGCCTTCCTTAAAGAGACTAAGTGTCTCATTTCCTATCCAAACCAATTCAATTCAACTATAACACACTCGTTGCTGATAATGAAACACGAAGAAGCAGTAAATGGGGGAAACGGGGCTATAATACATGAGACGACGGGTCGGGTCGTCACAATGTAACATTGCCCGTACTTCTTTGCCAAATTCTGTCTTCATCATTGTTGTAATACTTTTGTTGAGTTTTTCGCATCGAGTTAACAATTCAGGAAGTGTAAAGTCATACATCGAGAAACAACAACTTTGGTTGTGGAAGATAGAAATCATACAAGTTTATCCAAAGTTTAATCTTTGATGTTCGATCTTTGATCATTACATGAATTCATTTGTCAGATAAAGTTTCTAGCCAGAGAAAGCAAACAATTTCGTGGAATTTGTTGTGAAAAGTGAGTTCAGTTTGCATTTGCTTAGATTTATATTCCAGAGAAAGATGGAGTTCGACGAGAATGCTTTGTTCGTAAAGCTCATTATTTTATTTTATTTTATGTAATAAATTCAAGCTAATTGAACAGAGACAGTGATTTTGTTACATATATTGTAGGGTCTTAAAGATTGTGACTATTTTTTTTTTTTGTTCCAAATACGGTTTAAGAAGCAGAGGTTGTTACTTTTATTAACCAATAACATATTATTTTTGATCACTTTTCATTACCATTTCAAGTAATATTTCTTATTATTTTTTAATTTTATAATTCCTCGCGCATCGTGCGGTTACGGATACTAGTATTACTAAAAGGAGAAGAAAAAACCATCTCCTTAAGCCAAGTGGTAGCCTAGAAAAAAGCCACATGGAATAAGTAGTTAACATTTAGTTATTGATTATTATTTTTAAATTTAAATATCTATAAAATAATAAAATAAAATAACTGGCTCGATAAAGTCTGGGAGATCAGATAAGCTGGCTAGGGATTTTGAGATTCCTATATATTATTTAAAAAACGAAAATTAAAAAAATTGTCCATTCAAATTGGAAAGTAGTTTCAAGTAGGAGTTTTTAAATTATTTACAATAAAAACTTAAAATTACATAAAATAAAAAATCTCTCTAATAATTTTTTTAATATGCTAATAATTTTTTTTATTAATAATGAAATTATATTAAATATTTATTATATAATAAAGAAAGATACATAACAAAAAAGTTATTCGATGACTATATATGTCCCTTTAATTTAATAGAGATTTTATTCATTAAAATTCAAATATATTAAAGTTATACAATCTGATATATTCAAACAAGCCCGGAATATAATATAATTAATATTTTTTAATATTAATTGCGCATAGCGCAAGTAGGACTGCTAGTTGCAATTACAGGGAAACTTTCCAAACACACTTTAAAGTTTCCCATGGTTCTTAGGACCAATATACCCTCAATAAACTAATAAAATACCGTCGAAACAATTTAAAACTTCAAACTCCAAAACACCATTTTGGCAAACCTCCCCCTCCCTCCAGATTCTTCATTTCCCGCTGACACCTCTCCACTACTCTCAGTAACTTCTCCGGCGCCGCCGTGGAAAGCATAGTTCTAGAAGGTTCGTCTTGCTCTCTATTTTCTCTCTTTTCATGAACTCTGTTTACATGCGTTTCACAAGTATACTGGATCCCGAGCCCGAATAAAAGAGGAGGATCGTCTTAGGTGGACAACTATGTAAAACTTAATTAAATTATGACGAAAATGACGTATATGAAACAGATGATTAATTCGTATAGCTGAGGTGTGGTTGAGTTGTATTTGTGTTAAGCCCTAGCATTGGCTTTTTATAAGGGAGAAAAGTGAGGGTTCAATTGTTGAGGATTTAGTCATTTCTGAGATGATGTAGTAATGGATCGCCGCTGGTGACTTGATATATGAGGGAATAAACTTACCTGTATTTGCGAAACCAATAAATGCATCACATATATCTTTTAAATAGACTATTTGTTTTACATTGTCATGATTATATAATATGTATTCTCACTTTATAAATCCGAACGCACAAGCATTTTCCGATACTTAATTTGTGAATAAACTAGTGCTCTCTTGTTTCCCACTGAAGAAATTTACTTTCGTTCATATTCTATCATTAATGAATGGTGCATTTGAAGTTCTATGGTTTATAATTGTCATCATTTCCCTTTAATGTCTCTGCTTTTATCTGATAAAGTGCTGCTTATTTCTTTGGTTAATCTTCAGCGATTGGGTTCAGCTCCACATCTCAGTTTTCTTTCTAATGGCGGTATGCTAGTGGGATTTTTTGTTTTCGTTCGTTTTTCCTGTAATTTGTAGGTTCCAGAACTTACATTTTAGTTTTCCAGATTGACAGGATTCTTAAAGATGAAGCTACGGAAGAAAAGGGAGAGCGAGCTAGAATGGTAAGTCTCATGTATCTGGAAATAAATATAGCTGGTAGTTTACAAAGACTATCTTGTATGTAATTTTTTTTTTTTATGAAGAAAGCTATCTTGTATGTAATTTCTCTATCCCAATTTATACAACACTTGCCATTGTGGATGTCACAAAATATTTCTTGAAATTTAACGAAATAGTATCTCAACTTTCAAGAATTCAAAACTACTCAAGTATAAAACTTGATGTGCTATTTTCTCTATCAAACTGAATATTCATCCTTTTTTAATATTATTCAACTACCATGCATTTTCAAAACAAAACCAAAAAAAAAAAAAATGAAGAAATTATTTGCCTACCACTAATATTACATGGTTCAGATCAACTTTTTAAACTCATGTCCAGTAAAACACCTGCCATGTAATATGAAGGGAGATAGTAGTGTATAAAGTTACTGTGACTTTCTATCTTCTTCTCTGTGAAGGAAAAATGAAGTATGTTGTTAGAGGCGATTATTTGTCGTTTTTACTGAAAGAAATGAGTGTCTCTAATTTTAGGCATCCTTTGTGGGGGCTATGGCAATTGCCGACTTGGTTAAGACAACATTAGGACCTAAGGGAATGGTAAGCTCATTCTTGGAGTATGTAGCTTGCAGCTTTGTTTGAAAAGATGTTAGATTGTGGTTTGATAATATCTTGTTTATGTGTTGTTTTAAGGATAAAATTTTACAATCAACCGGCAGAGGTCATAGTGTTACAGTTACAAATGATGGCGCCACAATTTTGAAGTCCCTCCATATTGACAATCCTGCTGCCAAGGTCCTGGTTGGTATCCTTGTTATCTTTTTTCGGGGTCAGTGGACCATTGTATATAGTCGTGTAAGAGATTTGGACAGTAGACATCTAAAATATCTAGTTTTTTTCTCTAGAAAAGGTTACTAATTGATTGCTGACTGCTGTTTTTTATTGCTGAAAAAGAAGAGGTCAATCTTGAGACTTTTACAAGTCTTCAATTTCCAACAGCATAGATTATCATTGAACTTTAGTAGAAGCGGGGCACATAAGTTTTTTGTAGTAAATTCTAAGTCTTTGCTTGGCTGAAAAGGACTTCGATTAATAGATAGATACAAACTGAACTGTTAAGGCATTTTGATTGAACGCTTCTGAAAGATATGCTGCAGATTAGATAGTGCAATGGTTTAGCAACTATGCTAGGTATCTCCGGGGTGGGATTTAAGTTTATTCAATTCAGACTTTGAGAGCAGTTGATGGTTCAATAGGATGCAGTTCATCGCTGTCAAACAGGATATCGGAGGGTAGAACTTAATTGGTTAGGTGTTGAGTGTATGCGATGGTATTTGTTGTTTAATATTTTGAAACAACAAAATGGTTACTTAGAGGTGACGTTGCTTTTGTGGAAGGTCATGTAAGACTTGGTAGTCTCTGTTCATTGTCTATCATAGATGCATTGACTTGTGTAAGTGTGTTCCGGAGAGCAAATTGAACCCTCAAACTCTGCTGGAAGCTTTATTACGGGGAAAAGCTAAGGTACAGAACTGCAAAAGATCGATATCATATAAATGCTCTACCTTCACCCTTTCACTAGACATCTCTAAAGTACAAGATGATGAAGTTGGTGATGGGACAACGTCTGTAGTTGTTTTGGCTGGAGAACTTTTAAGGGAGGCAGAGAAGCTGGTTAATTCGAAAATTCATCCAATGACAATTATTTCAGGTTTGTTCTGTTCATCTTATGCCCTGGAGTTTTGGCTTATTGGGATGTATATCTCTGGGGCTTTGCTTCAATTTTTTGAAGTTTGTAATCTTTGAATGTTAGTGTCTTCAACAGTGCTACTCTGCTTGCATGCTGTTCGTAAGTGCATGTTGGTAGTTTATCTTTTATTGGCATTCCTCATTTTTCAATCTGTAAATGACTGCTTTATGTGGTTTATTGGTAGTCAAATGACCGTTTGATGATCTTTCTAATTTAACAAAGCTCTTTTTATCTTTGTATTGATCTTGGATGCCAGTATTCACCTGAAAGGTTTACATAATCAGTTAGAATTTCATCTTCTTACTTTTTTATATTTTTTAACGCTTGGGTGATCCTTTTTTTAAAACAAAGAAACACTTGGGTATTATTGAGACTTCCAATGGGGTATCTTGAAATTAAAACACTTGGGTGATATTGAGCTGTCCTTCAAAAAAAGAATTTGGTAATTTATACTGTGTTGTAACTTGTAAGGATGGTTTTATTTTGGAACTCAAGCTTTCTGTGAAGGAAGTCGTCTAGAGACATTGCATCTTTCATATACTGCTCATGAAGACATTTCTTTGTTTACTTTAACCTCGATGTCCTTTTCAGTTATTAACCATTGTTTATAATCCTTGGGGGGGGAGGGGGGGGGGGAGGGGGGGGGACGAGCAACCAAAGAAATATCACATGGCAATGTGCTTCTGTAGTAGGGTATCTAAGAACCAGTCTCAGGGAAGTCTTTAGGACATTAAAATCTCGTCTGTATATCTGTGGGAAACTGGGAATCATGGCTACTTTCAAGTTGTTGATGTATGATAGTTAAAATTTTTGAGGTACTTTAATTTTGTATTGGCACTGAGTGTACATTTAATTGGTATATGTTATGGCTTCTCCAAACCAGGTTATCGTATGGCAGCTGAATGTGCATGCAATGTGTTGCTGCAGAAGGTTGTTGATAATAAACAGGATGCAGGTATCTGTGCTTGAGCTAGTCTCACTTGAAACAGAACAGTGATATTTCACATCTTCAACAACTTCTCCTTTATTGCTGGTGTATGAGTTATCTAAAAGAATTCACTGTGTAAATAACTCTGGAAAGCAGTAAATGATAATATAAATCGTGATGAGGCAAGAATTCTTACTCACAACCATGTGGTCCTTGTCCATGTTTCTTATAAATTTGTGATGCTGCAGAGAAGTTTAGGTCGGACTTGATGAATATTGCGATGACTACTTTGAGCTCGAAAATCTTGTCTCAGGACAAGGAGCATTTTGCGAAACTGTCTGTTGATGCAGTTATGAGGTTAAAGGTCTGTACATTTACATTTATCATCTTATCCATCACTAGGGGATAATCTAGGATGTACTTGGTTCGTTCTATTTTAATCGTTTGATCTCAGGTTTATCTGCATCTACTTTTTTCTTTTTATTTTATTTCTCTTATACTGCAGTAGTTGACTGTCTTGACAATTTGATGATGATGTTTTAAACAGCATGTTCCGGATAAGCTATGATTTTATTAAATGGTAGCCATGATCATCGAAATGAATGCTAATGTGGGATGTGTCCCCTGATGATATCTGTCTTTACTTTTAGTTTGTTTTTTGATAAAAGTAGACCTTCTGATATCTGTCTTTTTTTGGGGTGTAAATAGAGGATTCCTTGAAGATAGTGGTTCAGTTTCAAATCCAAATTGGTGCGTATGTTTGACACCATCTTGGTTTAGATTTAAAAAAAGTGTCTTCATATGCTCCCTCCATTCCAATTTATGTGAACCTCTTTGACTGGGCACGAAGTTTAACAAAGAAATGAAAGCTTTTATAACTTGTGGTCCTAAACAAGCCTTTACATTTGTGTGGCTATAATTGTTTTGAAACTTGTGGTGTTAAATATGTCAGAGTATTTGTGTGGCTATAAAAGTTTGTCATTGAGGGTAGAATTGGAAGTTTAAATGAAATTCTTGTTTAGAAAAAGGTCATTCTTTTTGGAACGGACTAAAAAGGAAGTAGGTTCACATAAACTGGAATAGAGGGAGTATTTATGTTTAGTCGAAAGATGTCACTTAATGTTTACAACTTGAGTGTCATTGAGACCGGTGAAGGGAGTAACTTATTGGTAAATATTACTCTCAGTGTCGACTTATTAAGTAACATGATGCAGGTAAAATGTGAAACACCTCTTAAATTCGTGTAAGACTCAACTGCATATTTTCCTGGTCAGACACATTAAAACTATCTTGCTCCAGACACCTTGAGAACTCATTTTGCACCAAATTTATGAATGTTTTAGTTTTCCCTTATACATTAGTTGGATTCTGCTCTGTATCTTCTCATGTAAAAATTTGAGCTGAATTATCTGCCTTGTGTCTATCAGAAAGAGAAAAGAAAAGCAACCCTTCCAGTGCTCATTCTCATTCTGTTGCCAGTTGAATCTTTGATTTGTTCCCATGCATACCTATTAATTTTCCGCTGTTGTTTATTTTTTTCTGTGTTTTCAAAATGTTGATTAAACTAATTGGAATGACAGGGCAGCACCAATCTAGAGGCAATCCAAATTATTAAGAAGCCTGGAGGTTCCTTGAAGGATTCATTTTTAGATGAAGGGTTTGTAACAAACTCGTGAAGTCTTTATGGGCCAATTTGATTTTACTGTTACACTATTGGATTCCTCTTGCATGTCCAGCTTTTCTTTGTTGCTGTACTTAATTTTTCATTCTCAAAGCTTTTAATTCTTTTTATTTTAGGACTTATTCGGAGGGTATGTGCTCTTATTCGTTAAAAGAAATGAAAGTAGGCTGTTTACCTAGTGCATTGTACTGTGAGTGTGCTTCGCATCTGGTGAAATGTATGCCTTCCTTGGGAGGTTTTTTCTCGGCATCGAGCAAATCTCTGAAGAGTTCTTCAAGCCTTTTGTGTATGGTTGGCTAGAGTTATTGTCTTCTAGGCTTATCATCTTGATAGATATAAGGACTGTGTTTGGGGTTAGCTGGATCTAGTTGGGCATTCAGAACAAGACGTAGAGCTTATAATGTAGCTCTCTTGGCAGTTGGAACTTATGTGGCTACTTTGGAGGGAAAGGAATATGAGAGCTTTTGAAGGGGTGGATTACGACTTTGTGCCAGCTTGGTGCATGTCGTTATTTGTGAATAACTTTTGGTGCACCCTTGAGCTTCCTGTTAGTATATGACTGGAGGTCTTTCATAGAGAACCATATTGTTGGTTAGGTTCTCTACTTTTCGTGTACAGGGTTTTCCCTCACAAGGCCACAGCATCGATAACTTATTACTCAATCAAAAACGCAAAAGGACAAAAAGGGTAAGATGGACCCTTCTGTTACAATGCTTAGTTTACCTCTGTCCCAAAATCAACCATACAACTCTTTAGTAGGATTCTTGATGGGGGATATTTTGTTTGTTGTCCTTTTCATAAACTTCCTTGTAATCTTTCTATTGCTGGTCCAAATACCTTCAAGCCAGACTTTCTTGATTTTTCACATTTTTCCTTTTATTCCACTATATTCCTTGTAATATAAGTTCCTTGTGTTCCCTCGTCTCTAAATCATTTCTTTGCTGCAGGTTCATTTTGGATAAAAAGATTGGGGTTGGCCAACCGAAACGTATTGAGAATGCTAAGATCTTGGTGTCCAACACTGCAATGGATACTGATAAAGTTAAAATCTATGGAGCACGTGTCCGAGTTGACTCAATGGCCAAGGTTGCTGAGCTAGAAGCTGCTGAAAAAGATAAAATGAGGGAGAAGGTGCAAAAGATCATCTCTCATGGAATAAACTGCTTTGTTAACAGACAGCTGATTTACAATTTCCCAGAGGAACTATTTGCCGATGCAGGGATACTTGCAATCGAGCATGCTGATTTTGATGGTATTGAGCACCTGGCTTTAGTTACTGGTGGAGAGATTGCATCTACCTTTGATAACCCAGAGTCTGTCAAGCTTGGCCACTGCAAACTCATTGAAGAAATAATGATTGGTGAGGACAAGTTGATCCACTTTTCTGGGGTCGAAATGGGTCAGGCGTGTACAATTGTCTTGAGAGGTGCAAGGTATGTTTTAGCGTCTTTAATTTTTCTGTCTTAACTCCCATTTCTTTGTAGGAAGGAGGGTTAGGGAGGGGTCGGAAGAAGGTGTCATTTTGTCTCCAGCTTAATAGCTGTTTGATTTTGGTGAAGTGTAAACTACTTGATGCTCAAGTCCTTGCACAGCATCTTTTCTCTTTTGTTGTTGAAATTTATAACACCTCAAGCGATTTCCGTCCATTGGGAAGTTAATATTCAATAAAGGCGTGTTTTACATCAATATCTCTTTGGTCGCGACATGGCCCATGCATGTGCTGATTAAAGAGTAATCTTCTGTGGTTTGACAGTGAAGTCTGTTTAATTTTGTGCAATCTTTTCATGTGAACTACTTCTCATATTTTTTTGGCAGCCCTCATGTACTGGATGAAGCTGAAAGGTCTCTGCATGATGCCTTGTGTGTACTGTCTCAGACAGTAAATGACAGCAGAGTTCTACTTGGAGGTGGATGGCCAGAGATGGTGATGGCGAAGGCAGTGGATGAACTGGCTAAAAAGACACCTGGTAAAAGATCTCACGCAATTGAGGCTTTTTCCCGGGCACTTTCGGCAATTCCGACCATCATTGCTGACAATGCTGGTCTGGACAGTGCTGAGCTGGTCGCTCAGCTTCGTGCAGAGCATCACAAGGAGGAAAGCAATGCAGGGATAGATGTCATCACTGGACATGTGAGTAAACCCACTCAGAATGTCAGATTAATTAATTATGCTATTTTGCAATAAGTTCAAAGAACCGGAGGAAGAATTCTGAAATTTTTCTGTTCTCTTCCTTTCCTGCTTTTCTAAGAAACGATGTTAAATCCCATGCAAATCGTCAAATCTTGCTTGCTTATTGGGAGTTTGTACATTGCTAGATTTAACCATCATTTTTTTGGCATTTATGACAGGTTGGAGATATGGCAGAGTTAGGAATTTCAGAGGCATTCAAAGTCAAACAGGCTGTGTTGCTCTCTGCAATCGAGGCTGCTGAGATGATCCTACGAGTTGATGAAATCATCACATGTGCCCCACGGAGGAGGGAAGGAATGTAAGATGTGGTTAATCTGTTGAGATGTTTGTATTCGGTCTTGTGGTTAAGATTTTAGGTATAACTGTAGATTAGAGTACAAACTATCGAATGTTGTTCGCTTTCATGCCAGTGTAAACACTGCTTGGGAAGTTTTGAAGAAACGTTACTGTTAAGTTTATGTTTTTGTTAAGTTTTGATAGGTTTGATCTAGACTTGCCTATAACCGAATATGTTGTGCACCGGATAGCTTTTATGCAGCTGCTTCTGTGGTAGTCTACAGACATTGTGTCAGCAGAGGCGAAGTTGAAATGTAATTGTTTTCAAGACTCTTGAGCGTGTTAAAAGGTTTAATGAGAATTGTATTTTACGTGTCCGAATAACTATCTACTACCAAGTAATGAAATGAGGCGAAAGCTTCCTACTTCTACCACAATGATCATTATGCATTTGCAACTATGGAATAACAATTTGGATCTTGTGTGAACCTATACAATTTATTGGGAGTATGAAAATATATCAAAGTTGAGAAGAAATGCAAGATCAATTTAAAATCACTTCCATTAGGGGCTTTAACTACGCTCAGGAGAACAGAGATTTCATAGTTATACATAGGAATTGGATCGTTGGCCTATATGATTGGTTTTATTAATGAATAGATTTCAGATATCATTTCAAAACCAGCTGAGACAATGTACTATGACTTAATCCAATTTGTCATTGCTGCATGATTGCATTGCTCGACGAAAAGCAAAAGAACGGGAAGGAACGTTGCAGAAATGTTATCCGATGACTTAGTAAACTTCTTTGATTACATTTTTGTTTCCCTGGAAGTTCATGGCACTTCCATCCAACCAAAAGAAAAGCCAGTGTCTTACAATTTGAATTCTTTATATAATCTTTTATTTTAGCTTCAAATTTACTTCTTCATACATATTTTATTGAATAAATTTCGGACTAGCTCGCTGCGACCATTTCATTTTTTCTAATGGTGAACTTTTTCTGATACTTGGACTTTAAACCTTGCCGAGAGTCTATCTGAAACAATCCCCACACTACCCTCTTCAGACCCCCTGTGGGGTTATAGTGAGTTGTTGTTCTTGTTATTGGACTTTAAACCTTGCCGCGATAAAGAGAATTAACGATAGACTTTCTCACTTTTACAGTCGATAACTGTCACCAAATACTAGTACGAGTATGCAATTAGTGTTTCTCCAAATACACCAATCATATAAGTTCTATATTCTTGGAGACTACTATGATTATAACGGTAAGGACAGCATTAAACAACTAAATAGCTTAGCAATAAGAATAATTTGTCCTAATACTACGAGCTATAAAACTGTGCTTGGACTCTCCAATACCTTAACCGAAAGAAAAAATTGCATCAGCTATAACACTAAGATAAACCTATAAGACAGGGCTTGGCATCTTCGTAATTTATCAGTCACATCTTTGCACCTCTTGAAATGAGAATGTCCCCATATGGCGCCTCCTGTTCGACTTTTATGAAGTCCCGAGTGGCCAGAACTGCACATAGAATGGAGCAAACTTTGACTCTCTTTAATGACAAAAGCTGAAAAATAAAAAGTTTCTCTGTGCTGCAATGCACTCTAAAAGAATTGAAAGGAATATATATACCGCAGGTCTGATAAAAGAGACACGCTGCTTGTTTCTTTGTCATCCCAAGAGTTAGTTCATTCAAACATTCTGTTTTGGCTGATCCAGGAGTGTCAAAGTGGCTCTTCAGCTGCCTGTAGACAATGTACCATGTGAGAAGTCAATAAATCAGCTGATTCATGATGAAACTGGAGGGAGTTTTAGGAACTAATGAAAAAGGATTTACATCCTGATAGTGTCAGTCATCTTGTCAAGAGGTTGAGTAGTGAATTGATGTTGGGTTTGTGTTGGTCCAGTTTCCATCAACATCTCTGCAAAAGGAGTGAAGGCAGGTATATGACAAACTAAACCACATTAAAGAAAATGACCAGAACTAAAATGGGGAAGTTGTTGAGTGTTCACAAACCATTGTCTGGTGTATAACCATTCTCTGATAGTTCAGATAGTCTAGCAATCTTGAAAGTTGGATCAGGATGGTGCCATTGGTACTCTTCTGCTACTGGTTCAAGGCCACTTGCACCATGCCTCGATGAAGAATGGGGTCTTTTCTTGTTGGACCTGAAGGTTTGCAATTTTGATCAGTGTAACCAGCTGCTATACATACAGAGACCTTGGTAATAAAAAAATAAGGTTAAACTTTTCTTTGGAACCGGGACCATGATATTCATTATTTCCTTCTGTTAATGTGAGTATGACTGGAGTAGTTTATCGTTGAACAATTACCAGATTAATATATAGTATGTACTAGTAGTACTAACCGGTTTGAATTGGTTATGGAGTTCTGTGATAGGTAACCATGATCAGATCCTGAGCTTGGAATGGATCTAGGCTCATCACCTATAGATTCACACAAATAAAAGTTATACCACCATTACAAATTGCGAACATATGACGGGCATAGGAATATTCATGTAAATTCTACATACCAGAGCCAGGTGTGGCCATGTGATTGGTCTCATTCACTCCATTAACCTCTTTTGGATGCAGTCCCAGGTTTGTAAGATTGGTTCTGAGGTCCTCCATGAGATCAGGTGGAATCACGTTATTATTGACATTTGCCCTTTGTTTCTCTATGGAGATCCCTACTGATGGGGAACCTGCACCAGTTTGGAACTCTTCCAAAGGCTTCGCATTCAAATGCTCAATCAGAAACACTTGAAGCCACTTGTCGTTTAAAACTAATTGAGAATCAGAAGTTCCTTACATATCTGACAGGTTCAAAATTGTGCATCCTTTCAGCTGGAGATGTGTAGGATGGTTCAGGAGGATAAGGCGGAGAGGTCTTTCCTGCATGTTAAAATGGAATTACCATCTGTTTGTAGTTTTTGCAATAGAGAATCTAAAATCATGGATGAAAAACCAGACCAGAAGGTGAATCATGGGGAGGTTGGGTACTTCGTATCCACAATTTTAATAGTGGTGCTGGATAGTGAACTTCCCTATTTCCATTTGTGAGCAACCCTTCTAGTAATGCAATAGGAGGCACCTCCATGAGTCTGCCTATCTTCATAGAAGATGAGGCATTCAAAGTCTGCGCAGAGCAAGAACTTAAGGTTAAGGTTACTAATAAATGATTTTGCATCTTATTGTAGTTAAAAAGAGAGATACTTTTGTTACTCTTAGGATAATCAAACACTATTCATTGATGGCAGAGATAAACATACTTAGTTCGTAGGATAAGACCCATAGTCAAATTTTACTTGCTCAAGGTGTACAAAATGGAAGCATTGAGGAGGGGACGATCTAGATTTGCACCTTTCTCTTTTTCCTTGTTCTTGATACAATATCTGAAGAACCCTGAAGCCAGGTATGATATATTTGACCAGGAATAATAGTTTGTTCATTGTCAATTGCAAGACGCACTAATTTTCTTGCTCTTTGTCGAGCTGGCTTTGGCCTTTGTTGGTCCTGCCGTTGCTACAGAATCATGTTAAGACGTTGGATTAATACTGAAGGTATTCCATTACATTATTTCCTAACTCGGTTGCTTGTGGAATTTCTACCTCAAAAACTTCTTCAGCTTCAGATTGTTGCTTCACTTGCTCCTCTGGATGTTTGCCAGGGATCTCGTCAGCTGCAACAAAATTTCTCTCTATTCAATCTATTTGCTAATTAAGTAATTAATAAGGAAATCTAGGGACTTTTACAAGCTCAACTCAATCAAATTGCGCTTTGTGCTTGAATGAACTATGCATGTAAACTGGAAGTTTAAAGTTAAGGGTTCAACAACCAGGTATACATTTGGAAGTCTAATAGTAGGTAAGTGCGACTTGCATCCATATTCGTATTGGAGAGCAAGGTTTATTTCCATAATGTCTCTATCTGAAAGCCTTTCTTTAAACACCAAGTGAATCATCTTGGGTCCATCTGCTATTTGTTGGGCTAAATTAGCCCAAGTACACTCTTAATATGGTGTGATATTGTCCGCTTTGGGCCAAGCCCGCACGGTTTTTCCCAAAAGGCCTCACACCATTAAGAGATCTCTACACCTTATATGTAGACTCCCAATCTTTTCAGCTACCAATGTGGGACTTTGTTCGCACACCCAACAATCTCCCCCTCGAACTAAGTTCCACGTGGCCCATTACCACGATCCACGGGTCAATTTTCGAGATTACTGCTTCTTGTGTGCGTGCCGCCCCGCACCATCACTCCGCCATCTCCATACTCGTCCCACTGAACCTAGGCTCTGATACCAGTTGTTGGGCTAAACTAGCCCAAGCACACTCTTAATATGGTGTGATATTGTCCGCTTTGGGCCAAGCCCGCACGGTTTTTCCCAAAAGGCCTCACACCATTAAGAGATCTCTACACCTTATATGTAGACTCCCAATCTTTTCAGCTACCAATGTGGGACTTTGTTCGCACACCCAACACTATTTACATCTCAAAAAACTTCATCTATCTGAAGTAGAAGCTAGTAATTTTTGTTTTAAAAAGAAAGTCTAATAAGCACATTCTTACGTTGATGGGCTTCTTGTCGAGGTGGAGATGGCACAAGAGTACTTGGGATTTGAGCTTCCTCTGGCTGGGTAAAATTCATTTGTGTTTCTTCATCCCCTTCAATATCAAACCTGTGGAATAATTCATGCTCAAAGAACTCCCATGATTTGTTAATGTATGATTTGTTAATAGAGAGCATTTTAACTGTTCCTCAGGATACCTCTCAAAATGATTAAACATATCTGAATCTGCCTGATGGGCATCAAAATGTTCAGCCAGGGTGATATTATCTAGATCAACTGCAACAAGGTTTTTCGGGGGTGTTCAGAGATAGGAACAACAAGAGAAAACTGGAAAATAATAGTATATGCAAGAATATAGATAGCATAGTGTATGCTGATAGTAGGATCTACAGGTATACCTTGATGAAAGTCCCGGGCAGGTTCTTCCTGTGCATTGGGTTTATCATAGAGGTCTACATTATCTAGTCTCTGCACATACAACATCCAGGAGTTTAGCTGCAAATCTTATGTTGAAATTACTAATGATTATGTTACTTTCACTATATGTACTTAGCATCAGACAATATTGCTTGCTCTTCAAGGTCATGAACAAGGACAAAATCCAAAATAACTTTAGATAGTCTCTCAAAAAGCTTACACAATTCAAGAGTTGAAATAACAAAGAACAAATTGCAAAACATATGATGTAAAATTGGGTAACAGAGACCAAAGGAACACGAAGGGAAATCAAATCGCTTTATTAATGTTAACTTTCTACTGATTCAAATTGCAATATTGCTAAACATTTGAA